TAGCTTCTATGAACAAAATACCACCTGAACCAGACGAAGTCCATGCGAGGCCAGTTACGACGCCAGGCTTAGATGTACGTTCAGCTACTTCGTCTTCATATTTTTCTACCTATAATTATTTGATAAATTGTCGTAAAATAAAAATAAAAAATCCAAAGTATTAATAATGGCTTACCCCTAATATCCTTTCTAAATCTTCAAGGTTTATTTCGGCTCTATATTTCTCAACTTCACCTTTATCCTTGGCATCTGCGTATTCTACCGCTTTAGATCTACAAACACCAGCAATTTGCCGCTCCAAACTTCTTACGCCTGCTTCACGTGTATATCCACTTGCGATCTTGAGCATAACTTCATCGTTAATTTTTACATGACCTGGTCCGAGACCATGAGAGGCAGTTTGTTTTGGTAATAAATGTCGTTGGGCTATATTTATTTTTTCGTCAAATGTGTAACCCGGTAATGATATAAGTTCCATACGATCTAGCAAAGGTGCTGGTATACTATCTACATTGTTTGCTGTTGCTATGAAAAGAACTTTTGATAAATCTAATGGAACATTTAGGTAATGATCATTAAAGGTGTTATTTTGCTCGGGATCAAGAACTTCGAGTAAAGCGGCTGAAGGATCACCGTGATTGCTAAGATGCCCAACTTTATCGATTTCATCTATCAATAAGTTATTAGTATATTTTTTTCGAGTCTCAAAATTATATATAGAGGATCTAAAAAATAAATATAACAAAATTTACCAAGTAAAATCACGGGATTGCTAACAGCAACTCGTCTCAGGGCTTGTGCAATTAATCCGGGCATAGCACCTATGTAAGTGCGCCGATGTCCTCGAATTTCAGCTTCATCCCTTACCCCACCCAGTGAAATACGATGGAACTTTCTGCCAAGTGCATTTGCAATGCTTTTACCTAATGAGGTTTTCCCTACACCAGGAGAACCCAATAAACATAAAATTGGCCCTTTCATATCCTCTTTTAGTTTAAGCACAGCGAGATACTCTAACACACGTTTCTTGACTGTTTGAAGTCCATAATGATCGTCTTCTAATTGTTGCCGCGCTTTTTCAATGTCTAATGTATCTGATGTAGTTTTGCTCCATGGAATTTCAGATAGCCATTCAAGGTAGGTACGAACAACTTGATATTCTGCTTGGGTTGGATGCATTCGTTTTAGACGTTTTAATTCTCGTTGTGCAGCTTTTTCAGCTATATAATTTCAAATATGAGAAATTCGATTTTGTTAATTATATAGTTGCCACAAATTTGATCGGTTGAAATCATTTTATATTCCACCTTCAGCTGAAAGTCCTGCTTCCTGAAGTCGCTTAGCTAAGTCAGCAACATCATCATCTTCAGACGAAGAATCGTCTCGTTCGCCTAGTTCATCTTTAATGGCTGCCATCTAATATTAATATTGAATTAGCATTGAAAACAAACGGAAAAAAGTTATAAGTTAAAATTTACCTGCTGACGAAGGTAGAATTCTTTTTGTTTTTTGCTCAACTTTCCTTCAACTGTTGAATGAATTTTTTGCGATATTTTAAGAATCTAATTGCCGCAAATATTTAAAAAACACTAAATATTATTGATATTATTGGTACTTGAAAAGTTATCACGCTTAATAATAAGAAACTTACGTGAATCTGTCGCGTCAAAAGGTCAATAGCTAGTGACATTCTAGTTTTTAGATCTACAGCATCCAGAATTTGTAGCTTCTCTTCATACGTTGATTCCAACGTGCTAATTAATAAATCAGCCAATGAACCAGCAGCTGCACCATCAATAAACTTTTGAAGCTGGGTGAGTAACGGAGTGGGCAATTTAAGATCTTGAAGCATGGCTAGTAGCTCACGACCAGTCGATTTCAGAGAGATTGCAAGATCCTGTAACTCTTGATCATCCTTTGCAATAACTAATAAATACAGATTAATGATTAGGCGTAAAGGATATATTAAAGATATTATAGGATCTTGCGTTAATTCGCCATATATTATTGTTTCTTTAAAAATATTTATATCCCAATCTTTCAAAATATCTTAAACTGGCGAATCAAATGCATAAAATAATAACTATGATAAATAAATATAGGATAAACTAAATTCCTATCAATAATACCTGGTTCTGGGAATGTAGTAACTTCAGCTTCCAAATATGGCTCCAATTTTACATAAGAGTCGACTCGTATACGAACAATGCCTTTAATTAGAAGTTTTAAATTAGAATTAACATTTCGGAAAAATAATAGCTGATTAGTGGTATTGACCTTCGACCACAGCCATGAATCCTCCCCCAACTGTTTTTTCCAGCCGAACTATACGAGCAGCGCACCCAAAATGATGCAAAGCAGAAGGATGAGTAGGATTGAGAGAAGAATCATTTATAAGTTTGTTTTCAGGCGCAATCGTGGTAGAATTCGTGTCATTCGACGGAGAAATAGTATTGAAAGGCAACTTTGAGCTAGATTTATTTGCTGTAACGTCATCAATTTCATTAGCTAGAGGTCGTTTAAAGGGAATGCAACCAACAATGTACTTTGACTCTCGGTTGTCGGCAGCTCTATATATTTTTTGCATCAGCTGTACGGTATCTTTACGTCCGACTTGAAGACGAATAACTAAGCCGGGAAGGAGGACTTTGTTTCTAATTGGAACAATTGGTATTATCTTTGGGAGTTGGTTGCTATTCATTGTATTCTTGCTTGGAAAACGAAGTAAATTCGAATGATTTTAATAACTGTCTAAAATTAATGGGCCGATTAAAAATGGGTTTATACATGTTATACGTGATTGTCACCAAAAAAAGGCTTACCGTTCGAATTTTCATATTAATGCCGCAAATGAAAAGTTATTCTGATCATGGCCAAAATTATCATTAATTAATTTAATCTGTCAGCTGCTTGTTGTAAATTTTATCGATTATTGACATTGTGACTTTGACATTTAATGTTAAATGTGAATTAATGTTAAATGTGAATTAAATGTTAAATGTGAATTAATGTTAAATGTGAATCAACGTACATTCCGTTCCAACTCTTGACATATTTATGCATAAAATTTTATTGGCTGTTTAGTAGATCCTCATCATGAAAGTTTTTACAATATATTTATATTTTAATGAATCCGAGAAGGTATCTATAATCGTTTCTACGTTCTTTAAAACCTTTACAAAATTACAGAATTATAATCACAATGATCGATTGCTGTTAAATGTCCCTAGCTTTTCCAATTTTAATGACCAACAAATCTCCTGAAAAATGGTTTACAGCAATAATAACTACTTATACATGTTCACATAATTTCACTAATAATTTCAATAATAGTACAGAAAAATAGTTTTTCCTTCCTTTTTTTTTTTGCTTCTCGGAGTTTCCAACTATTCGCGTAGTATACTATTCAGCACATGAATAAGAACCGTAATTTGCTTCAAGTTATGATTCTGATTTTCTTCTGATGACATTTGCATTTGAGTGTAACGATCCACAAGTCGTTGTTTTGCAATCGCTAGAATACGTGGACAGTGGCTACTGATTGTAGTATCCTAAGAATATTCAAATAATAGTATTGGAGTTTATTGTGTATAAAAATCAGCAGTATTTTATTAAAATATATGTAAATAATATTACCTTTGGATTCACGTGTAGCAAAGCTTCTTCTATCCAAGCAAATTTTAAGTCAGTGTATTTGCTTAGATCTATGGTAAGTTGGTGGATTAATGAGAGTATCACAGGCTGTGATAGCAATGGCCGTGATGGAAAGAATACATTTTTGGGGCTGACTTTGTGACATAAGCGGAGTATGATTGTCAAATCGCTCGAAGCCAGCGCCTATTAATAAATTGAATTTGTTAAAAATATAATCATCATCATATAAAATGCGCGCTAAATGTAATTTACTATTCAATACCTTTAAGAATGCCTCTTCATAGTCACCCATATTCAGATATCTGTCTATGGTGTTTTTCAGTTCAATAGATTC